ATATCTATTTATAATGAATTATTAAGAAATATAGAAATCTTTTTCAGCTTACCGCACTAATGAAGGTAAACCATGGGTTCTACCAGTTGTAAAAAAGGTAGAAAAGTCACTTGCTGCAGATGATTTACAAAATCATGAATATTTACCAGTTCTTGGCTTAGAAGCATTTAGCGAAGCTGCTACAAGTATGTTATTAGGTGCAAATTCTCCTGTTATTGGCCAAGGGCGTGCTTTTGGTATTCAGTCGCTTTCCGGTACTGGAGCATTACGTGTTACCGCTGAATTTTTGAATCGTATTCTACATTACGATACTTTTTACTACAGTAAACCTTCCTGGGGTAAGTAAATTTTAAAAAAGTTATTTTTAAAAAATAATATATTATTCTCTCTCTTCTCTCTTTCTCTTATTTCATCTACTAGTGAAAATTTTCATATATTTATGCAATTATATGTACTGACAGAAAATCACAGACTGGTATTTACTAATGGAGGATTTAAAAACGCTTGTGAATACACATACTGGGATGAAAAGACTCGTAATATCGATTTAGAAGGAATGCTCCGGGATTTACGAGATGCTCCAAAAAATGCTGTAATTATTCTGCACTCATGTGCACATAATCCAACTGGATGTGATCCAACTCCAGAGCAATGGACTAAAATAGCTGATGTAATACAAGAGAAACACCTTTTTCCATTATTTGACAGTGCATATCAGGTCAATATCTAAGTTAATATCTAAGCGAATGAATGATAAGAATAAATAACATGATCTTTTTATAGTCATTCTGATAAATCTGATTACACATTGATTCTTAACAGGGTTTTGCAAGTGGTGATTTAGATAAAGATGCGTATGCTGTACGAATGTTTGCCGAACGTGGAATCGAATTTATTTGTACGCAAAGTTTTGCGAAAAATTTTGGATTGTACAACGAAAGAGTTGGTAATATAGTTTTCGTGTTGGCCGATACAAAGGAGATAATTCAAGCTAGATCACAATTAACATTAATTATCCGAGGAATGTATAGCAATCCTCCTAATCATGGTGCTCGAATTGTTGCAACTGTGCTGAAAAATCCGGAGTTCTTTGAAGAATGGTGATTGATTTATAAAAATCTATAAAAAAAAATTATATTCTTTATTATTTACTTTAATAATGCATTTCAATATTTAGGAAGGATCATATTAAAACAATGTCCAATAGAATTAAACAAATGAGAGTAGGTTTGCATCATAGATTGCTCAAACTAGGTACTCCAGGTACTTGGGATCATATTATTCAACAAATTGGAATGTTCTCATATACAGGCCTCACAGGTTAGTTGTAAAAATTATATTTTATATTTTACAATATAGTATTTTGATAAAACTAGTTATGAAAAAATGTTTTCTTCCGATTTTCTTTTAGAAAAACAAGTTCAGCATCTGAGAGATCATTATCATATTTATATGTTACGTAGTGGACGTATAAATATGTGCGGGATCAATGAAAATAATTTAGATTATGTGGCAAATGCGATTAATGAAACGATAAAGCTATTGCCAGAAGCACAAAACTGTATGTGTTAAAATAGAATATTACAAATACAAATTAATAATCAAGCCTCAACATAAAAAATATGGCAATATTTTATATGTATATTATATATATTTTGTATGACAAAATTCAATTTCCAATTAGTAATCAAAGAAATGATTATTTTCTACTAGTACTGAAATTTGTTATACGAAGTCATGCATTTTGTCTTTATCCTACTTCGAGATTAAATTATTTTATATAGTTATCATTCCTGTGATAAATTATCCTTCGTCTCCATTTTTTCTTTACTATATAAAATTTTGCAGGATAAAGTACAAAATGTTGCAAAGTATTACAATGATGCCAAATTTTCTATGTGTATTAATTGTCATATTGTTAAATGAAGAATTTT